GCCAAGCGCGTCCTAATTAACTCCTCAATTACGCGGTTCCCCTCCCGATTTCGGGGCAAACAAAGAAGCCGGCCCGGCCCCGCGGGGCTCCGAGTACACATTATAATTGCGCATATTAAAATGGCGTCGCGGGCCAGCCAGCCATCCCTGCAGCCATCTTTAATCAATAATGGAGCATCAGGGACCATGACAACAGATACCCTTTCCCGGCCCCGGGTTCGCGTCTCACGGACCCCCGGGCAAGGGTTGCCGCCTTGCTCGCCGGGGCTCGGATATACCTTCCTCGTGTCGGGTTGCGTCCCTCCCCGGCCCCCCGATCCCCAACCCCGCGTCGCTCCGAGGAGCTCCGACCTGCCCCCGGAACCTGGCAGGGGTGGCTTTTGTCCGGGAAATCGTCCCGCGTCCTCCCGCCCGTTCACCCGCGACCCCGGACGCTAAAGTGCGCTCCATCGTCGACCCTCCCGGCGGCGCCGGAATTTCCTCCGAGAGGTAGCGAGAAAAAGACTGACTCTCCGGGATGACGACCAGAGGGGTGGACGCGAACGTCGCGAGGTCGGTCGTCCCCGGGTCACCTGTTGCCCGTCCCGAAAGGACATTGTCCAGGACTCCTATTCTGGAGTTCCCCTGGTCAACTTTATCATGCAAAATTGGGGATTTTAGATATACGACTCGGCGTTCCAACAATGCGAAATTTCTTCACGCGCATCTATTCGTATGGGAAAAAAAATCCGTGTGGATTCGAGAATAGGGTCCCTGGCGTCGGCGACGCGATCCGCGGTTCCGACCTTCTTTCGTCTTCTTCCTTTAATCAGAGCGCGACCGGTCGCGCAATTATTTCGCGACTCGTCCACCCCCGATCTCCGGGGATCTCGCCGGGTCTCGCCCCCTTGTTCCCACGTGCCCGTTTTACCCGCGACGAGGAGCCGCGCGCGATGTAACGTCGAGGACAGCTCGTTAGCACCGCCGGGAACCACAATGGCGTCGCGACGCCCGATACCCGATAACGCGCCGGTGGGCGTCGCCTCGCACAATGCCAATGCTTTACCCCGGGTAAAGCCTCGACACAATGCCCGTAATAGGAGAATTAATGCGCGTTGCGTGTGGTCCCCCGAGGGCCCCTGGGGGGCCCGGGCAGATCCCCGATAGCATTGTTCCGCGGATAATTTGTGCGTTCAATTAATTTAACTCGATCGGCCCGGCCTCGCTGACATTTTTCCCGGGGATATCGCGGGACTCCCGCGAGAGCGGGCCCTCCGCCCTGCGGCCGGACGATAGCCCTTATCGACGCCGCGATGGCCGGAGACGGACCGCGCCGAATTCCCGATTCCGCGCTAGATGGGCCGCGGGAACGAGAGGAGGGTGCCCTACCTCGTGCGGAATCCGCAGACGCGATTAGAACGTCGGTGCAACAACCGGCGTCGCTCGTTACGGTCGTCTTTGAAACCAGTCTTTATGTAGAAAGTAATCGACCTCCGAGCGAGAGGGATCGCTCGCTCGAGTCGATCTTCAACGCGAGGGTGACGTCACGATTAATCGCCGGACATCGATTCGACGCCGACGTCGAGGCGCCGTCGGCTGGGACTTTTCGTCGCGCGGGGACGGCGACGCCTACCGGAAGAGCGTTTCCTCACCGGCGTCGCGAACTCCCCGATTGGACGCGACTCGCGACGCGTGACATCGCGGCCCTCAGGGACGCCTCGACGCTCCCGTCGCGGCGACGCCGCCGTCGGGACTGTGCCAAGGGATCCGGCACTCCGGCCCTGAGCGTTTTGTCGCGAGGAATTACGAGGCACGAAGTGGGCGGCTACGTGGCGTGTCGCACGCGCCGTCCTTTGATACGGCCCGCACGATTCGCGACGCCGCGACGCCGTATACGCGCGTCTTGCCCGGGGACTAGGTCGGGCCTCGCGGATCTCCGCGGAAATCGCTCCGATGCCCTTCCCCGGCCGCTAATTATAGGCCGCGTTCGTTCAGAAATTTCCGCCGGCGCGCGCATAGAAATTTCCTACCGCTCGGCGGAATTCCGTCGCGAGCCTCCTTTTCCCTCCTCGTGCTCTCTTCGGGAAATAAAATGTCACGGGAGTGGGGCCCGATTCGTTCGTTTTATCTTCGGCATAGGAATTACGGTGAAAGTATGTCCGCGGTAAATTGTGGCCGCTACTTGACTCTACCTTGACTTATACATAATTCAAGGCATCGGGGCGGCACCGCAAGGTGCTTTCGAGTGCATTACCATACGTAGGTACTCCTGGCCACCGAGACGTGGAAAACTCGCCGGTGAACCGAGACTCTCCTAGGGGGTGGAAGTTTTTTCTTTTTTTTCTTTTTTTTCTCCGGGGGACGATTTTCTACGGCAAATTGCCTTCCCGGTATCGGTGGTTCCACTCCGGTGGAAGGTACCCTCGCGGTACCGAACCAGGGGTGGTTTACTTTTCTAACCGGTGAACCGAGGTTTCCTTCGATCATCGCCCATTTTCGGTACGCCGCTTTCCGGAGAGGTGAACACGGCGTAACCGTGCGTGCCCGATCTCTACGGCGGAATCGGTCGGAGAGGAAATTTACATAGGTCGAACGCGAGCTTGAACCTCTCTCGGGGTCTAAGTACCACTTGCGGCGGTAGCGTGTCGCCGGGAAAATTGGTACCTGTCTCGAACGAGTTCGACGCGAGCACGACGCGAGCCGAAGGGCGTAATTGACGGTTCCTTCTGTCGTTCGGCCAAAGCCACCCGAAATGGTTCGTGGAAACGCGAACGTAGGCCGGAGCCTCGGTTACGTCGGCGGATAAACCTGCGAAAACACCGCCATAAGCTCTCCGAGCCCACTCAACTAGCCGGGGACTATTACTTTGAGGCTTAACCTCCGACTGCCGCGTTCTCCTCTGCAATCTACCGACGAAAAGTCGACGAAGGAAAATATACGAGCGCGATCGCTCGCTTTCACGGAATTCCCTCCTCGCTCCGGAGGGTCCGCGACGTCGTTTACGACGAAACGTGCGAGGGAGCCGCAGCGATTTCCACGTGACACCGCCGATCCGGTTGCGACAGCCGTAGGTGGTCTTATTGGCCGATAAAGCCGACTTTAATGGACACACTTGCGCGGGGCCTTTTCTTGGATTACGACCGCGCGGATCATCCGCGTGCGGGATTTCACCGGGCCCTCGGTTCGACGATAAAGTTATTACGATATAGCCTAGGCCCTTGTATCGGACCCCTAGGTGGAGGGACGCGCCGCGACGCCGCGAGGTCCCACTACACAGGGCCCCTGGTTGTAAAAATCCCGGGGAAAGCATAAATTCGTTATTTACTCGGCGCACTCGTTTAACGTCGTCGATTACGTGCACGACCCGCGATGGAAGGTAGAGACTCGCTTCCCTCCTCGGTTAATGAAGCGGTAGTAGTTCGGCTCGCGTTTATCGCCCTGACCTACCGTCGAGTTATCGGGGCCCCTTGCCCACGACGGGGCCTCCGGGCGGACCTGCTCGTATTTCCCGTGGTCCTGAAAATTTATGATTTGTTTAATTAACGTTTTTTTTTGCCCCGAGAGGAACCTCGGCTAATGAAGTAGCGGGAGGTTTACGTCCGTCGCCCTGACCTACCTCGAAGTTCCCGCCACCTCGGCGGGAGACTCTCCCAATCGAGTAGCTTAACCTCTTGGGATCGAGACCACGGATCGATAGATCGGTCGGTTGCCTCGGGTTTTGTCGTTCTATCTGAAACGCGGCTCTGTCCCTTTTTTCGGCGGAACGGCACCAGCGTTTCCGGCCTTCGGATCCGTGGTTTTGCTTCTAGAGCCTAGTCAAGGGGTTTCATCTCGTACGCGTAACCCGAGACGTCGGATTCCCGTCCTGGGGGTCCTCTCGATTTTCGAGGCTTTGCCCGTCCCTCCTGGCAAGGACTACGGGGGCACTTGCAGCGGAATAATATTTACCCGGACGGCCTGGCGACTGCGTCCTATTATCGGACGCGTTATCCGTGGGCAGGAAACGGGTAAATCCTCGCTCGAGGTTACGCCGAAGTGGCGCGGCTCGGTCAGTTTGTTGGTTCGGCCGGGACGTTAACGTCTGCGGCCCAGTGACAAGAGACGTTTGCCAGACCGCGGACGAAATTGTTCCGTGTCTTCTTCGCGTGTCCTATCTTCGACCGAATACTCCCCGGGCCTGGAGCCAACGCGCTCGAGGCAGAAACCGACGCGCGGACGGCGAGAGGCAAAAGACGATAAAGAAAAATATACCTCTCTCAAATTCGAAAATACCTCCCGGCGGAGGCGCGACCGTGCGGCTTGGACTTTGGGGAACGCGTCCTCGAGCACAGGTAAATCCAGGATCTGGATCGTTTCTATGGATTGGATTTATTCGGCTTATCGGCGGAGAATTCCCTGACTCTTGACCCTCGACTGGCTAGTCCACTTGTCCTGGACGAGGGGACACGAGAAAGTCCCCGACTCCCCGTGACCGTTCCACAATGGACCACCCGCGAGATATATTCGCCCGCGAACCTCGGAGATGGCACCTTATACCGCCATCCATCTCCTGACGTCGGACATTCAGTCGGTGACACTAATGTTTCGCTTCTCTTTTCATGCCGGGCATTTATCTGCCCTCGCTAAAGAGCCCCGCGAGCTACAGCGGTCTTAACAGTGAGAAACGAACGGCCGGGCACTTGCGACGCGAACTCCGCCATTTTCGAGGGTTTACTCCAGATCTCCAGGAGACCTTCTCCGGAAGTGACGGCGATGAGGTTTCGCCGATGACGAGAAACACGCGACCCCTGACCTCGGGGTCCAGTACTCGAATCAAAATATAAAAGTCCGCAGCACGTCTGCCTGACTGGGATGGCTTATTATAATTCCGAAAAAGAAAAAGAAACTAAGAGACTTGATTATTTATATTAAGCGGACCTTCTCCGAATCTGCCGCGGGTTTGCTGAAATCTCTACTAGGGTACTCTCCTCGTAAGAATAATAGACGTCGGATTGACCGTTTGACCGTTTCGTGGATTGCAGTGGCCCACGTGGTTCCTTCGGCCTGACTTCCCCCTGGGATCGCCGCTCATAGGACAGCACGCCAGCTCGGCGGGACCGCCGAATTCGTCTACGCTATCCTTGAGGAACCACTCGGACCTGCCGAAGAGTCTGGACCCTCCGCTGGACAGCAGCAAGATCCACGGCCAGACCCCGACGATCTGCACGGTGAGTCGACTTCTGGACATCCGCATGCACCTTTCCTTCTGTTTTGCCCCCAACGGGAGGACCCGTCGGGAGACGATCGATCGATTTCCCGGGACTCATCGAGGTCCTCAGGACAAACGGCGATGGGTGGGTGTCGTATCGCACGAACTCGTTCGGAGGCACGGAAAGGAACCATCGCGAGAGGCGAGGTGTCTCGGCCCCCCTAATGGCCCGCGACACGGCAGAGCGCGCGGTCGATATTCAATTTACAATTTTGTCACTGCGGTATTGCCTTTCGCGGAAGAAACCGCGCCTCGTAGAAGTCGTTCGTCAAATGGGACGTTGCGGGGGGAAGGACGCCCGGGAAGGGTCGGATCGACGCCTCGACGACGGCGAGGTATATCCATTGGCCGTGGCGGGGGGACCTGGAAAAAAAAAAATGGGTTTTCATCGAGAAAGGGGGGAAAATAATGGAGCACCGCCGACGAGGAGACGCGGCCCCGAAGGCACGCGGTGTCGCGCGGTTAATTGGCCGCGACTAATCGCTAAACGTCGCTCCAGTCGAGGATTGTTAACGCGCCGGGTATGACCAATTTCACGCTTCCTTCACCTAGCGCAAGTGACACCCACTCTCGTGGCACCGACGTCGATCGAGAGTCTCGCTTGAAACGACCTCCACCTTCCTGTTAACCGGGAACGGTCAAATCGATCTACCGATCCGCTTATCGATCTATCGGGCTAATTTCCTCGCACGCGGGGTGCGGGAAAACCCGCGAGGCCGCGTTTCCTAAACGAGCACGTGGCAGCACATGGCAGGACACGGGAGGACACGGCGGCACACGGCATGGCCGCGGTCACGGCCATAGATAAGACAAGTGGATCTCGTTATTAGTTTATTCGGACCGACGGGCAAGAAAGTCAATTTCCCGGGTGCCTAACGACTCGACCGGACGGCGACAAAAAGCTCAATCTATCAAATTGTCACCGGCCCTCCTGTTTCATAGCTGTACCCGTTCCCCTACCTCGCCTCCCTAATAAGCAATCTTCCTCCGAAGCGACGTCGGGCGTACCGTTAATCGCGTTCTTCCTTGCACCTGAATGAGTCCTCATCGAATAAAGCGTCGTCCCGCGTCCAGCGCAAAAAGGCGATCGGCGTGATTGCTAAAACAGCAACAAGATATCCCCGCGAGTGGCAATTTGCGGTAATTATCCTGGAGAGCCGCGCTGATTGGGGGCCCCCCCCCTTATTTCGAACGATCGCTCTCGCAAAACACAACGTCCCAGGACCGTGATGACCGATCGTCGGCGCGGGAACGTCGCGAGCAATTTGTTCCGCCGGTCCCAGGAGGGAGGGCGCGGAAAGGAGGCGGATTTTTTTTCCCCGGTTTGGGGAATCTCGGGGATCCGGAGGAGAGGCGATTCGTCTCTCTGCGGAGGCGAGTACGGGTCGGTTCGTAAACTCGGGTCGATTTCCTTGCTCCGGGTGGTGCCTGACTATCCTCCGTCGCTTTTACGAGGGACTCTGTTAATAAGTCATTTGCCGGCCGTTGGATGTCGCCGCCCCGCACAACGGCGTCCTTTCACGGGACGTTTCATTACCCTAGGACTCTTTATCACCGTCCGATGCTTCCTTCGCGACCGGGACGCCCGTGGACGCGAAACGACGCCCGCGTCGCTCGGAGGAAAGGGTACACCCTATTTCGGGAAACGATCGCCGGCGGTGTCGCCGGGTCGCGAGAAAACGGTCGTTGTCGTCGGTTGCCAGGATCGTTGTCGACGTCGTCGAGGAGGCCAGAGAGGCAAAAGTTGGCATCCGTTTGGTCGCTTCCGCGGTCGGTAACGGTCGTTGCGTTAAAGGGTATGTAGGACGTCGGGCGACTCGCGTTTAACGGCGGCTTAAGCCGCGTGGACATTAAGATGCGGTGGTCGCGGATCGTTAGCAGCTCCGTTTTTACTCGACCCGGGGGAAGGAGAGGCGGACGCGGAGGGCGGGAGGCCCTCTTATAAAGGGGGCACTGTGGAGAGGAAGGACGGAGAGACCGGACCGCCTGGGGGAGGGAGCGAGACGGAGAGATCGCGCGGTGATTGCCGCGCGGACGTTATTCCGTCGTCGCGAAGCACCCGGTTTTACTGCGCTCGCGTGTGGTCGCGCTGAAAACTGGTCGCGTTTCCGGTTCGCCGTTTTAATGGCTGTCAAAGTGGCCGACTATCGGTCCGCCGATCGGTCCCGAATCGATCCCTTCCCGAGCTCGATTTTCCGGGCGGCCGTGCAACTCGGCGCTCTTCCCTCCCCCCGAAAATAGCTAAAAGACCGCCCGACTCGAGGGAAACAAAAAAAAAAAGGCCGTATCGAGAAAACCCCGAGGTTTTCCGCGGAAACGGTTCCTCTGGAGCCGAAGTCGGTGGGGGGATTTCTTACGAGGGCCGTCTTTTACCCGCGCAACTCTCGGCGTATCCGGCGAGGGCGAAGGAACCCGCCTCCTGGGTCGCGTGTTTGCATTTTTCGAGCCCCGGATGAAATCGTTTGATGGCGCATCCCGCAGATTGGATCGGGGATGCGGAATGGCGCCGCGCCGAAAGGGCGGTCTCGGGGGCCCCGGCCGAGCTCCGTCGGGAACATCTGCGCCCTTAATTATTTTGCGGATTTAGTAGATCGTTATGGCTTGTAAAATTACTGCCAATTTCACGCCCCTAAACTTATTTTTATCCTCCCGTTGGCTGCCTATCGGCCGCGCAAACCTTAGCGAAGGATATTGGGCATCGCTCGCGGTAAATTAATGGCTCCTCCACCTTTACGACTGCGCGTCGGACGGGCACGCAACTATTCCGTCGCGAATCCGCGTAAATGCGGTACGACGGGACCCCCGCGGGATATCCTCGCCCTCGGGTTCGAGGCCGGGAGGTCCCCCAGGAAGGATAGAGCGCGATAGGGTAACCGACGACTCCGGGAAATCGTTCGGAATCGAGGGAGGAAAGAGCGGCCCCGGGTGGACGCGCGACTACCGGATGCCGAAGCGCCGGAGCGCCGCGCCTTGGCACGAATCACTGTAATTTAATAAATTGCGATAGCTGCCGTCCCGGGGCAAATTGTAGCATAATCATTCATTAGTAGGTCGTGACTCGGCTTCGGTGTGTGCCGGTGCCGAGAGCGATGGGGCACCCCCGCCGCGTCCCGCCCTCTAAACACCGCGAGCGTTATCCGGGCTTGCCGATTACGGAGGAACACCCCGTTTAGGTTGGATCGCGCCGAGGAAACGATCGGCGAGTCCCCGTCCGCGGATGGGATTTCCCCGGTTCCGAGTTCCGACCCCACGAGGGGGGCGAAAAATCGGGGGAGGAAAAATACCGACCCTCCGGGGGCCGATTCGGGCGGTCGAACGGAATCTTTGGGGAGCCGACCAGACGGGCCCGAGGAAGGGGCCCGCCGAGAGGTCGACACTATCCACCGGCGAGCGGCAAATCGATCCGCCACTGAGGACATCGCGATACTGGAAGGGAGATACCGATAATTATAGACCGCGGCGCATTTCTTCGGGGCCCTCGATCCGAGCTCGGGATCTCGCGCCGTTTGCGAGAGAGGGGCTCCCCTTCTCGTGATTCCCGGTCTCGGGGCCCCGAGAGAGTGGGCCCCCATCGCGATCCCGCGAATCGCGATCGCGGGATCGCGATGAATTCCTCGCGTAATTCCCTCGTAATCCCTCGTAATTCCCCGCAACCGTTGTCCGGCGACTCACGACTCTCTCGCGATATTCCGCGGTTATGCCGGAGCGGCGCTCTTTAAGCCGCGGCGGTTACATCGATAACGCGTCCTTGCCGGGTACGGCGAGCGCTCGAGCGTTTAATCGAACGGTATTAAGGAACGAAAGGGATAGCCCCCCGAGATCGCGATCGATTATTTCTCCTTTTATCTCCTTCTCCCCTCTTCGTAGATTTTTCCCCTCATTTTTCTCCCCCTCTCTCTGTCCCTCTGAGAGTCGCGCGCGACTCTCCGCCCTGGACCCGGCGACGTCGACGGCGCGACCTCGCGGATAACGGAAGCGCGCCCCGAGGGGACGTCATCGTCCTGCTATTAAACGGGGCACGGACCTCGTAACTCGCCGATTAAATCCCCGATCGGGGGCCCGGGGCTCGATTAGTCGCGCTAATTTCCAATAATTAGCCCGGAATATTCGGCCGGGAGGGTAATGAAGTTATCGCCGGGCCGCGTTCCCGATATTACCCGGGATTTACATAAAAGCGGCGTGCCGCCGCGGCGACAAACGCGCCACTTAAACGACGATAACGCGGCGTCGTTAAGCGACTAACGACTCGCGGGGCCCGAACGGACCGGCGGCGTTCCCGACCGATCGTTAGGTCTTTGCGAAATTCCCATCTAGGACCTGATAATCGGCCGGTATCGTTCCTTTGAGGTCGCGGTCGCTGTGAGAAGTCCCAGTCGACGCGACATCCTTTCCCGATATTCGGGGAACGGGGAAGGAAGGGTCTCGAGGGGGCCGATTTTTCAGGGCGAAAATGGAGCGGTCCCGTCGGCAACCGCGGCACGGTCGTGCGCGGGACCAAGATGGCCGAGAAAATTGCAGAGTTTATTGTTTCATGTCGGGGCTCCGCGGACGAGCCCGGGGAACGGCCCGTTTTATGTTCCGGACGTTTTGGTCCTTTTCGGCCTGGTCGGCGCACAAATCGGCGGATACGGTAATATACGTGTGTCCGCCGTTACGGCTCTTACCCATACGTATCGGCGGAGTCGGTGCACGTAACGCCGGGCCCCCCCTTTTTGTCTGTATTACACGTCTCGGGGGCCCGGGAGGCGACTTTGTCGACGTGTCATTATCCCTCGCGATAATCGCGCGTTTCGCGGGGCCCCCTCGGAAATCCCACACCGCCGAGTATCGCCGATTTCGCGACGCCTCGGACCCTTCTCCTCCACCTTTCCTGGGTTTCTGCGAATTCGCTCCTTCGTCGCCTCCCCCGGGAGCGACGCGGCCCAGGGGCTATTCACTTGGAAATCAGGGAAAACTATT